TTTACTTTGATTAAGATTACAAACAAAAGTAAAATTGAAATATAAATCATGATAAAAATGACCAAGTAAATCTTGTTTTGTTTTAGTATCGACGAAAAAATTGCCAACTAATAAAGATTAGAACCTTTTTTTTCTCGAATCTCAAGGAAAAAGGAAGGAAGCACAGATACGTGAAGATAAATTTAGAGTAAAATTGGTTTCATGTTGAATGAAAATCTAAACCCAATGAGAATAAATGAGTTGATTATCATTCACAAAAACATACAGTTGGTCAAGTTGAAAGGTAAAAGTTGCAAAAGGTAAAGAAGAAGGAAAAAAGATGAAGATGAAAATGTCGATATAATTTAGATTAATGTTGGAATGATAATTGAATTGGTTGGCAACAATAAGCCATTGAGAGGGTCTGAGTGCTGTTGATTCCCTGGCAAACAAAGAGTGGGTTTAATATCAAGTGAAATTGATATTACAAAGGAAAAAAACAAGCTTCACTTGTAAATGAATATAAAGTGAACAAAATGGATCCCAGCAAATTAAATGTGTTACCTGGAAAGAGATGTGAAAAGAAGAGAAAAAATTGATTCATAATCTGAATAATGGTTGCATTGAATGATAACAATGTGATGATGAAAAATTGTAGATAAAAAGATGAACAGACAAGTTGACGAGTTGGACAAGATTTAGGAGGTAACGTTGATGATGTTGGATGACCAAAAGCTGATGCTTGTTTACTTATTTATTTATTTGCTTTTTTTCTTCCTACTTTTTTCCTCATCACTAGTCAAATATCAGAATGCAGAATTGATTAGCAAAAAATCGACTGTTTCAGAAGTTTCTTTTTCTTTCTGCTCCTACGAGTTTTCTTTCAACCTTGTAGTCACTAGGTTCAATTCATTGACCAAGCTCACTGTCATTCAACTAGACGTGTCATTGTTGGCTGCTTCAGCTTTTTTCAATTTTCTAATCGCTCTTTTCCCGCAAAGTAACCTGCGCCGTTGATTTCCCTTGATTGATTAGTAGTTTTTAGATAATTTTGGCGATGGTCTTAAAACTTTGAGCCTGAGAATAATAGCACCTTAAATTTTTTATTATTTCCCCAGAAACTAGATTCTGTGATGTACTATATTGAAATATATCATTCAAGATCCGAAAAATCTTTACCCAGGCTGAATCTCAAAAAATAGTATTTATCTGTCGTTAGACAAGATGGCATGCCTTTATGTGAGAAAAACCTTTGGAATAAAATACAAACCATCACTGGTACAGAAAATACCAAGTAATTTTGTTAAAAAACTTGGAATTATTGGTAAAAGGAGAAAAAACCACATAAAATTTCATCAAAACAAGAATCAAAAATCAATGAACAATTACTGCTACTTGCTCACTTACTCGATTACAGAGTGCCAATTTTGGGTGATGAAACTTATTTCGATTTGCATGGAACTGGTTTTTATAGAGGTCAGTTTATTCATGCCATGTAAGTTCTGATGTTATTCCTAATCAAGTATAATTCAGATTCAAGTCCGGAAATTTATTGGCTTTAGCAGCAATTTCGGAGCAAGAAATATTTGATATTCATTTTCCTCCATCGAATAATGTAGATAGGTCTGAGGTTTGTATCGAAGAATGCATAAAGAAGCTGAATAAGTAAAAGATCATTTCTTAGGCATTTATTGTACCTAAAAATCAAACTGAATATTTTGTTTTTCTCAACAAATTCCTCTGCACGTGTTGATTTTAATTCGTTTTGTTAATGAGTGACATGCAATCAACGCTTTCTAAGAAAACTCCGTTGTGCAAACAAGTTTGAATGATCCAATGAAATGTCTAATCTGCAGAAAACGGTTTGTTTCTTCCGTTTTGCGGAATCATCAGCTTGAATATCATTTAGATGTAAAACGCTATGCATGCACATAGACTAGCTACTAGGACGCGAATTAAGAGCGAGATTGGATAGAGACTTTGGTCAACAATTTTGACAACATATTTACATTACACATCGTGAAGCCACCAATAATATCATGTTGAGACATATGGTCGTAAGGCCCGACCCACGCATCTTATTGCCCTTCCTGTCGACACAACAATCTTGGGCCAGACTCTCAACATAACAGTTGGAAGTCCTGGACCAGCGATATGAACGAGACGTTCATAATAGGAAAGAACCATTTTATCTGGTTATTTAATTTCCCTCATTTCCTCACCTTCAACCCCTTCTTCCCTATTCTTGCCCCTT